ATATTTTCTGCTGACATCAGTTTGCCCTTTCCCAGTGGCAGAGCAAGAGTGAGAAGCTCTTAAGGCCAAAGTCTCAGAAGTCTGGCTGGGTGCTGACTGCGGGACCAGGACATTTTCATCTCTCTGCCAGTCCAAGACTGTATTAGGTTTTCTGTGAAGGGTTTGGGGCTTTTTTTGGTACCAGGGGAGGGCTATGGAGATAGCCCTGTAAGAAGCTACTAGAAGCTCCTCCAGCTCCAATGTCAGACCCACCTCTGACCAGGGCCAAGCCAATCAATGCCCCTTGTGAATTAATACATTTAAGAAGGGTGCAACTACTGACCCCTCCTGGCCCTGACTAGTGTGACCCCAGGTGTGGGCAGATCAACCCACCTGCAGCCCATGGAGGTTCACCAGTGGGGCAGATTCACATGAGCAGGTGGCTGCCCTTGCAGAGGCCGTGACTACAGGCAGTGTGAGCTGGAGCAGTTTGTGCGTGAGGGAACTGCAGCCGTGGGCAGACCCAGACTGGGGATTTGTGAAGAACTTTTCTCCTGTGGGAAGGGCACCACGTGGAAGCAAAGGGAGGCTGGAAGGAGTCTCCCCTACCCCCCTGAAGAGGAAGGAGTGGCAGAGAAGGCATGGGATGAACTGACTGCAACCCCCATTCCCATCCCCCTGCACCACTGGGCAAAGCAAGGGGAGGCAAAGAAACTGGGAGCAAAGCTGAGCCTGGGGAGGAGGGGGTTGGAGAGGAAGGTGTTTAAGATCTGGTTGTTCTTTCTCACTGTTCTACATTGATGTTACTGGTAACAATATTAAACAGTTTGGGTTTTTTTGTCCCCAGGATGAGTCTGTCTTTTGCTAGTGACTGTAAGTGGTGAGCAAAATCCCTCCCAGTCCTTATTTTGTCTAGCCCCCTTTTCGTGGGCACTGTGGTGCTCAGTTGCCCACTGGGCTCAAACCACAACAAAGACGCATGCTTCCTCATGGCACATAGCACAACATCCCAGTTTGAGCTAAAGAGAACTAATTCTTTATTTAGGGATTTTACTTTTTCAGTTAAGTCTCTCTTAAGTGACTGCACTTTCTGAAACTAACAGCATGTTTTTCCAGTGTCCACTTCTACAAGTGACAGTGCTTAATATTTATAGTTACTATTAGGTATGATAAGTAAATACAGCTCATGCTTATACTTGGACTTACGGAGATCAAGGCTACTGTGACATCATGGGTGCTGTACTGGGGTGCTGTAAGTGAGGTGTTGCATCTGTGGGGAGGAATGGACAGGACAGATGGCCCAAAACTGACCAACAAGGTATTCCATCCCATATACGTCATACTCAGTATAAATCTAAGGGATCATGAGTGACAAGCTCTCTTTTCCTCTTCCTCTTCTGCCATGGCCAATGACTGGGTAAAACTCTGCTAGTTCCTCTGCCTTTAATCCCGATCCATGTGTTCCTGAATCCAGTTCCTAAATCCTGCTCCCACACGCTGCTGGGTCCAGTCTGGGACTTTTCCAGTGCACTGCTCCACAGAGCCTCTGGTGGCATAATCGTCATGGGTGGGGAGGGCAGGTTGCATGTAGGATTCTATATTGGTTTTGTATATATTTGTATACAGATATCTATATATATTTGTATTATTATTATTGCTTCATTAAACTTGATTTAGTTTACTTTTCCAACCCATAAGTCTCTTCCTTATTCTCTTTCTCTTCCCCTTCTGGGGAGTGGAAGGAGGTTAATAGAAAGCATCTGTCCATATCTTAATTGGAGTAGAACCTAAGACAAAGACTTTGTTACGCTAGGTGCTGCATAAACACAAGACAAATGGGTAGTCTCTGTTAATTTACAATCTCAGTAATTAAGCAAGGGCTGACAAGCAGCAGATACAGAAGTACTGAGGAGTACTAAGAAAAGATATGGGACTCTATGGTTATACGAGACAAATGACAGCTGCCATATCCTATAGGGACCATAACATCAAGGTTTTAACATTATATTCTTTCCTTGTTTCCTCTCTTTTGCTTGTTTACAGTTTGATACAGTCTACATAAATGCATCTTTTGGGAAAAAGCATTAGCTAACACTTGTTAAATTTGTGATTCCTAGGGTCATGGAGTTTGAAATTTTTGGTTATACCTTATCAAATATACCAGTTACTACTGCTATAGGATAGTTTTCATGCACAACTGCTGAATGCCACTCTCATTTTCTCACAGGGGCGGAAGAAGAAATTCTTTGGAGTTGAGTGCTCTTGTCACTCCAGCAAAGTAGAATGAATTCAAAACAGCCAAAAGTAACTACTGGATAGATTGGCTGAAAGACTGAACTTCTATCAGTAAGACTGAAATACCAGGAACATACATTTATTTTCCTAGGTCAGTGACTACCTCAAGTATAAAATAAATCTGGGGCTTCTATTGAATTTTATACTATTATTTCTAGTATAAAATTGCATATCAAGAAACTACAAGACATTAAGGTTGTAAAGTGAGTGACTCCTGTTAGGGAAATGTCAGAGGAATGTAATTAATCTCCTCCTGTGTGTGCACTGTATTTCAATCTTTAATTATCAAAGCACTACAAGGGGATCACAAAACCTCACAATGAAGGCCACAATGACCCCAAAACCCAGAGTGAAAAAACAGAATTTATGACGCGCTTTTTTTCCCCACCAGTGCCTTTATGATGCACTTTTTTTCCATGGGAATAGCACTTTGTTAGAAGAACTGAATAGTTAGTTATCCAGTACTTCCTTTTATTCTTCTTTAAGAGTCGGGCTTCAGCCCTTTTTTTACTACACATCACCTAAAGCTTGCCCTGAACATATATAGACTTACTTGTCTATTAATAAACTTTGTACTAATACTCTGATCTATTGCAATATTTGACCATGTTGGAAGCATTACAGAATTTATTTTTCCAGTATTCAGGAAAATAAAAGTAGTAGTATTATTCCTCTTTTAACCACAGGAAAGATTATAGACACTTTGTTTAAACTACTGAGTGCCCACCAATTTTGTCAACTCAGTCCAAGATACACAATCTGATTTTTCAGGGTATTTATACTTTATTTTTAATCTTAGGAAGTTTAGATAAGCTTTTATATATTCAAAGCATAGCACCCATCAAAGCAAATAGCAAGACAAAGTGCTGAGAGCATCTGGAAGTACACTCCCAGGCGGGTATCAAGAAAATAAAGAATATGCATTTAGCTGATATTACTGCATTTACCAGTGAGATTCTGGTTTTCAGATAATTTGTCCTGCAATCATCCCAGTGGGAAGAGCGTGGCAAACATGGGATCTTTTGAGGTCCCTTCCAACTCCTACTATTCTGTGATTCTGTGTGATTCTGTGATCTAGTTTGTCAGCTTTGAATTACCACACTTGTCCTTTCTCTTCCTGCTAACTAAAATCAACACCTTTGTAACTGACTTGCTCACCATACACATGAGTTAACTGTTCAGCACAGGGGTTCATGCAGTAGTGGCAGAAAAAACTGTACCTTGAAAAAGGGTAAAGTCTTAATGCCAAACCAGAAAAAGGGCTGGACCTGCCAGAACCAGGGTAAGGCCTTGATGCAGAACTTGTTATCTGTGAAAACTTCACAACCATGTAATAGTAAGAATGCTTAAAAATGGATTAAATTATGTATTTTTCATTAGTTCTGCCATCTAAAAAATAAGGTTTATTACAACCTAACAAACTGTAAGTAGATAGACACAAATCAGCTTTAGACAAGAAGTCATTATGAAAAATCCATCTATGTCTTTACATACATCTTGCAAAATGGCAAATGTTTTTGTAATGGGAGGTTCTAAAGAACTTCTTGTGCCAATAGCCATTTTTTTTAACATTACTTATAGAAAAGGAATGGTCGCCTTGAAGAATATTGGAGGGGAAGGGGACAGTATCGAAAATACCAGTGCCAGTGGGCAGGTAATGCTTTTGCTTGTGCCAGTTCCAGCCCTCCTCCTCAGTGGCCTCAGGCCTGCAACCCTATGAGCCCAGCTGAGAGTTACTGGGAAGGGCACAACTCATGGCAGCCATTTAGCATCAAATTCTCCAGCTCTGATTCCTCTGTTTCTGCTGAAACCAACAAGAAGGTTCTGTTCTGTACAGCTTCGCCTGGAGCCCTCCGGCCTGCACTGCGCCCAGGTGGCACTGTGGCAATGCCTGCATTCCAGGAAACCCCAGCCCCAGGGAGCCCTGGCAAAAGGTGGCTTTAAAAAAAAAAAGTGTCTGTTTTACATGAAGCGGCTCATATTATTTTTTAATATATTAACCCTCTGCCAACGCCAGGGCAGCACCCCTGCAGGGAAAGCAGAGTTTCCCCACTCCCGGCAACCGAGGCTGCCCTCGCCCACAAGACCCCTGCACCGCCATGTTCACTCTGGCACCGCTTCCGCCTATCGAGCTCTCCTCAAACCACTCGACCCGATGCAGCCCACGACCAGAAAGCAACAGCGGCCATCCAAAGGCGCCATGCGGCTCCCAGCCG